TTTTGGACGGCCCACGCACCCACCCCTGAGCTCGGACCTCATGGATCGCTCGCTTGTCCCTCTCGGCCAATCCGCAGCAAACGCTGCGCAACGAGAGCGATGCGCACTACGCGGCGCTGGAGCACGAACGGGAGGAGGCTCGCGAGCAGATCCGGACCATGCGCGTGCAGCTGAAGGAGGCGACCATGGAAGTGCGCCAAGCGGAGCTACCCATTCACTGTTTGAGATACCCCTGAGACGCATCCGAGACAGTTCCTCTTTCAGGTGCGGCGGAGTCGAGAGCTGCTCAACCACAGCCGAGACGCGTCCGGGTGCGGATGATGCCACTTCCGAGACGCTCCCGAGACAGTTCCGAACTCCCTCGCCCGCTACACACTCCCACCGGGCTGACTCGTGGCTCGCAAGTCCACAGCCGAGCACGGCACATCCACACGGCATGCCACGGCACCGCCTACAGGCACCTCGAGAGGGAGGTGAGGCAGGCGAGGTTCGAGGGGGGTGTGCGGACTAAACATATACTGCTGGCGGTCGTCTTTATGCTGACCTTGGTGGTGATCGCCGCGACGGCCGTGTGGGCGATGCTGCGCGGGCGCAAGCCGACCGACGTCCTGTCGGAGAGCGAGAAGGCGCGCGTGCAACGAGCGATGCTCCTCGTCAAGGCGCGCGCCCATTCGCGAGATTGGCCCGAGATTGAAAACCGGTCGAGAGATGCACCGAGAGTCCGAGACTACGGGCAAGTCATGGGCGAAGCTTGTCGAGAGGCACGCCTCTCTGGCAGAGAAACAACCCCCGAATCACCAAGAGCAGTCCAATCCCTCCCCCACGCCCATCCCAAGCCTCAGCCGTTTGCCTCAATGTGTGTAGCAAGCGCGACAGTCAAGCGTGAACGCGCCTCCCACGGACGACGGGGACGACGGGGACGACGAGGAGGGTGGCAAGGATCAGTAGCTTGGCAGGGCGAGAGGAAGAGAAACCGCCGACTGATGTGTCCACGCCGAAGCGAACCCTCTCTCTCGTCACTCTTGTACATTAAACGAACTTCGGCCGTGACGCTTTTTGCGTTTCTTTTTGGCGATGCTGCCGCCCGTCGTTCAGTAGGTGCGGTGTGCGCCGCAGCCGCACTCTCGGGTGCCGCGCGGCTGGCATGTGGTTCGTGAGTTCCTCTGACTCTGAGAGGGACACACTCCTCTTTTTTTGTGGGGGCTGCGCGTCACGCGGGCTGTGCTGACGACGTCGCTAGGATCGGTCCAACACAAGTCTATAAATAAATAAAACGTACACGCCGAAACGAGGGGTGGGAGAAGGACAGGGTCCCCACCTGCACGAGCAGGATCTTGTAAGGACAAAAAAAGAAGGACCGCTCGCAAGGGACCATTGGGCTATTAACAACGAAGGTTCCGACAGGTTCGGCACCGGGCACCGCCTCGGTATACAAAATGCGCCTGCGGGCGGACCCTTACAGATCACAGATCACAACGAAGGCGCGAACGGACGTCCGAAATTCGGCGCACAATGCTCATTCCGACGCCCGCCACATGACGCCCACCGCAGCCGCGTTGGTCGGCGCGCGCCGCCGCCGACCATCACCACCGACCGACAGCTCGCACGCGCCCAGAGTATCGACCTCTGGCGGGTCAGCCAGCCCCACTTTGAGGGCGCCATGAAGTACAGCGATCGCCACCTCGCTGGCCTCTCTCCGCAGGCCCCCCCGACCGTGTCGAACTCATCGGCGCGGGCTCTCTCGGCTACGGGACCGGCCCCAGCTTCGGCTGAGGGCTAACAAGCTGCCGAGCCCAAATCACTGTGAGAGTCGTGATTTCTTGTTGGTTAATAAAAATCTCTCCCCAGTGTGCTGTGTGCTGTGTTCGCAGCGTTTTTTTTTCGCAACCACGCCAGCTCGTTCCTGGAGCAGCTTGCCCCCACGCCAGCTCGCTCCGGAGCGCGTGGTTCGAGAACCAGCTGCTTGCAGCAAGCCCACGTGTGCTGCAAACACCAGCCTCTGCACGTCGCGCTGGGCTCACAGGCTGCCCCTGTGCTCGCTGTAGGCCGTGGGCGCGCCGCTCTCGGTGCCGCGCGGCGCATGTGGTTCCTGACACTCGTTTTGCTTCTGACGACGTCATTGCTCTGCTATGCCGGCTACATCTTCCTAGTGGTGGACAAGCGGCAAGAGAAGCAGGAGCGGCCTCCACCGCGCAGCACACCCGGCGCCCAGAACGCCTCGCTCAGCACCTGCACGCGACCCACTCTCTGCTGCGCGCTCGCTGCGCCTTGCCGCCTGCTGGCAGCATCAGGAGCAGTCCGTTTGGCGCGCCCCGCGCTGTCCCTCACAGCGCGTCGGTCGCGCGAGGCGCTGCCGACGCATCGTGGCGGGCCGCTTGCACGCAGACACTGCTGCTCTGCCTTGTGCGGCGTTCTGCTGAGCACGCAGACACGGCCTCCTGCGAGCCTGCGCGGCGGTTCTCCGGCGCTCACCGGCGTCTGCGGCTCCCGCGTCAGGTGCTCGAGAATCCGGAGGTTTACGAGGCGCTCGATGACAAGCAGTACAACTTCGAGCTCCCCATTGAGATCGACGACTATGACGAGCTGCGCGAGTCCAAGCCGCCAGACAAGCGCACGCTGCCGCTCGCGCTGCTCAAGCGCGCGATGGCGGACATACCGCTGATAGAGCAGCTTGAGCGCGACCACCCGCGCATGGTGCGCCTCTTCAACCGCGGCTTGCTTCCCTTTGGGATCTGGGAGCAGCTGCTCGAGGCGGAGCGGATGATGGATGAGGAGGTGGCATTCGCACAGACTACTCACGCAGCACTCCGAGACCTGTCGAGAGACCAGCTTCCGAGCCGCTGTCCTCACGCCACACGCGTTGTCGCGCTGGAGGACAGCACCCCAGTCCGCCTCTGGCACACCGGGCTTACACCCACCACACACCCTAGGGCCACCGGACCCACCCACGACGCCCGCCCGCAGCAACGCCCGGCCACCCCGACCCGGCCACACCGACCCAGCCACCCGACCCGTCCGCAGGTGCA